CCCCCACGGCGGGGGTCCGGGGGTCAAACCCCTACCCCGACTTTGCCCCCGTGGGCCCCCGCCTGACAACCCTGCCCGCAACCGCAACCCTTACGGAAAGTTGTGCCCGTTGTCGATCCCTCGAGAACCTGGTTGTCTATTGCCATGGACGTCACCGGACCCTTCCCACGACATCGCCTCGCGCACGACGGTATCCTCACAGTCGTTGACCGACTAGCAAATACGCGCGGTTTCTTCCTTGCAAGTATCAACTGAGGGCTCGCGAGACTCTCGCACACCGGCTGGATTTGTGGCCACAGCGTTCAGGAAGACATCGTTAGCACTCGCGACACTCGATTCATGTCGGCATTTTGGACATCCCTCATGAAGGAATCCAACACCGAGATGAAACCGAGTTTCGCTCGGCACCCATAAACAGACAAGCCAATGGAGCGGGCACATCAAACCGCTCAAATGATGCTTCGTATGCTCATCCATCCGGACCAGAAAGATTGGGTTGACCGCCTTCCCGACATCGAATTCGCCTACAACACTTCGTTCCATCCGACGATTGGAGTGACTCCCTTCGAGTTGCACCACGGTGGCCGGAAAGTCGTATCTTCGCAGATATTTTATTCCCTCGGGCCGCCGACATTGACGCCCTGTGCTCTCCCACCTCTGTTTGGAAGTACCGGGACTTGCTGGCGAAAGCCCGCACAAACATGCAAAAGGCTCAAGTTTGTATGCAGCAGCAAGCTAATCGGCGTCGTGTGCCATGTCCTATCCGTGCCGACGACCTGGTATGGGTTTCCTCCAAGGAGTTCGCACTTGAACAAGATGTCTCGTGCAAGCTCTTCCCCAAGTGGTTTGGACCATGGACCGTCACATCAGCCGCTGGCGACGGGCCCGATGGCCCATTGTCCGTGATTGAGATCCCGCCACATCTACCCGTCCACCCAGTCTTCCACACCTCCAAGTTGGCTACATACACACCAGCCAAGAGTGGCGACTTCCCAGGCCAGCGATCGCAAGACCCTCCTTCCATGGATGGTCACCAGGAAGTTGATCGGGTAGTCACGCACCACAAGTATGGCAATAAGAGAATGCAGTACAAGGTCACCTTCAAACAGCGCGACTGTGACGACACACAATGGATTTCACGAGCAGACTTGCAAGCTTCCACACCGCTTAACTTTGCAAACTACCTGAAGCAACGACTACCGTCTTCCCCCGAACGTAACACTGCGTTGTATTCGAGTTTTCCAAAAAAAACGGGTTTTTTAAAGGTTAGACTCTTTTCTTCAAATACAAGGGCACTTCGAAAATAACGCATATGCGTTCTGTTCGAATAGTACGCATATGCCATGTATTTGAATTTCACGAAGATAAAATTGTTGTATTCGAATAAACCTTCCCCCCCCCCCCCGAAGGTCAACGCCTGCTCCGTTTTTGCCCCTGTCTCTTATACACATCTAGATGTGTATAAGAGACAGCCTCAAGACAATGGAAATACATCTCAATGCGCAGTGGAAAAGAGTGAGACAGCAGGTACGGCAACAACCAGGACAAGAGGAAGAGATAATTAAGA